TTCCTGATTACAAGTCCAGCATTCTCTCCACTGTGCCACTTAGCTGCTTTTTATGTCTTCCTGTTCTTTCAATATCCACAGACGTAGATCCTCTTCAGTAGCTATCTCTCAAGATTTTGGTTGCTTCCACATCACCAAACAGCTTCTCCAGGCTGACAGTGAGAATCATTCAGATTCAATCTAGAGTAGCAATCCCTATGATCCCTTCCTTAGCTTCCTGGCAGATGAAAGACACTGAGATAAGAGGAAAGTTTATCAAGATATGTTGCTATTAGAAGAGTGAAGTCATCAGGGGTAGTCTAGACAGCAGAAGTCTCCCAGCAATACTGATATTTGCCTCTGTGGCATTTGCCCAGCCTGTATTAAGAACTCATCAACAATCTCTTCCCATTGGGTAGTTTCTAGTATACTTCCACAGAATATCTATGTCTCTTCTTTGACAACCCAAACACTTGGGTGACATTCCACCCTCTGGTTCTTGGATTTTTATGCCTTCTTGAGATACAAAGCCATTCCTATCTATCATACCTGTTTCTTTTGTAAAAAGTCTATGTTGGGCTTTTGTTGAGGGCGCAGGTGGAGGGGAGGATCAGCTAGGTGGCACAGTGGGATACAGTACCAGGCCTGGAATCAGGAGGACTTGAGTTCAAATCTGGCCTCAGATACTTATTAGTTGTGCAACTCTGGGCAAGTCACTTAAGCCTGCTGGCCTCAGTTTCCTCATCTATAAAATGAGCTGGAGAAGGAAATGGCAAACCATTCCAGTATCTTTACCAAGAAAACCCCAAATGGGGTCACGAAGAGTCAGACACGACTGAACACCAACAACAAAGGTGGTAAATGGTCAAGCCAAGATTCTAACTCAAGTGGCCCCATGTTTAGCAGGCTGTCTACTGTACCATGGTGCCTCTTTTTGGCCTAGGAAAAGACAGGGGTCATTATTCATCTGTCAATCTTCTCTGTCAAAACATATATTTAAAAACAAACTTAACATCCTCCCCCTACTCCGCACCAGTATCTCATCCCGACTTTCCTCTTTTGTTCAACAGCATCCCTGTTTTCCTGTTTCCAACTCATTTTTTTTTTACTTCTATCTCTCCCAAATGTCTCTAAGGCTTATTTCAAAACATGTTTCCGACTCATTCTTTCTCTCTCTTCTCCAACTCCATTTCCACAAATCTAATCTAGGCTCTTTTATAATGTCTCAAGTGTTGGCCCTTGGCCATCCCCTCTCTGTCCTTGCACATCCCTGGCTTTACCCTCTTTGACTTCAAGCATGCTCAGATCTCCCTCAACTTGGAAAAAAAACCCCACACCTGTACTTGACAATTTGGGGCCCTCCAGCTACCATTCTCTCTCTTTTCTTTCTTGCCTGATTTCTTTTTTTTGTTGTTGTTTGACTTTTTAGGCAATTGGGGCTAAGTGACTTGTTCAGGGTCACCCAGATAGTGTCAAGTGTTTGGTCTGAATCCGGATTTGAACTCAGGTCCTCCTGACTTCAGGGCTGGTGCTCTATCCACTGCACCACCTAGCTGCCCCTTTTTTGCCTAATTTTTAGAATACATGATCCACCCTCACTGCCTCTATTCCCTCAAAACTCACTCTTTCCTTTATGTCCTTTCAATCCCCACCATGCTATTCAGTCTGCTCTAAGGCCACTGACCCCCAACTACTGAACCCAATGGCCTTTCCTCTGTCTTCATTCTGCATGATTTCTCAGTAGTATCTGGCAGACCACCTCCTCACTTTATGTGATTCTCTCCTTCCTTAACACTATCTCCTTGATAATACATTTCACTAGTTCTGCTACATCTCTGACCTCTTCTGCTATTTCTCATTATGATTAATGATAACAAGGAGCATTATTTTTAGCACTTTAAAATTTGCAAAGCTCTGTACAAATGTTATTTCACATGAATTTGGCAACAATTCTGTGAGACAGGTACTATTATTGTCCCCATTTTATAGATGAAGAAACTGAGCCTGAGAAAGGTTATGTGACTTATGTAGGCTCATATGGCCAGCAAGTGTCTGAAGTAGGATTTGAACTCAGGTCTTCCTGATTCAAAGTCCAGTGCTCTATTCACTAAGCCACCTAATTGTCCTACTACCAACAGCCATTTTCTGAGTGTCTATTATGTGTAGGGTATGCTGGTGATATAAAGTCACTTCCACCAAAGGCCTTACGATGTAACTAGAGAAACAGGATACATAGGTAAAATAGGACAAGCATAGATTCTAGTCAATCAATGTCAAGGACCCTAAGAATGGGATAAACACTTGCTTGAGAAGTTCAGAGGAGGAAGAATTCAAGGACAACTCTGGTGGAGCTTCAGAGAAGCCATCATCATCATCACATCATCTTCTTCTCCTCTTCTCCTCCTCCTTCTTCTTCTTCTCCTCCTCCTCCTCCTTCTCCTTTTTCTCCTCCTCCTTCTCCTTCTTCTATTTTGGAGGCAATCAGGGTTTAGTGATTTGTCCAGGGTCACACAGCTAGGTAAAATCTGAGGGCCAGATTTGAAATCAGGCTGTCCTGACTCTAGGGCCACTTCGCTACCTAACTGCCCCCAGAGAAGCTTTCTGAGAAGAGGTGGGGTTTCCACTGGGTTTTGAAAGTGTAGGACTTAGGAGAGAGAAGAAAGCATTCTAGGCAGGGAGAATGAATGAATAAATGAAAAAGCATTCATGAAACACTTAATACATGTAAAGACCCATGGTAAGTACCAGGGATAGGAATAAAGAAGAGGAGGTGATCTTTGGCACAGAAACATAAAGGTGGGAAAGTGAGGCATTTTTAGAGGACAGCAACTAGGCTGAAACAAAAATTAGGTAGGGAAGGAGGAAAACAATGAGTCGGTAAAAGGTTTAGCTGGAGCCAGACTGTAGGGGATCTTAACTGATGTTTGGACTTTAGGATACGTGGTCTAAATGGTCCTTTAGAGATCAGGCAATGGGGAGGCAGTGAAGGCTTCACAACTAAAAGGTTTCATAAGTGGGAATGAGGAAGATTAATCTGGCAGCAGAATTCAGGATGGATTAGAAAGAGGTAGGGTATAAAGGAAGGAAGACCAGTGAGAAGGCTACTGTTGTATGTAGTCTAGGCACAAGGTAACCAAAATCTGAACCAAGGCATTAAGAGTACAGAGGAGAGGATGACTGAGAGACATTAAAGAGAGTGAATCAGCAAAACTTTACAACTGATCACAACAAATAATGGAATGGCTGGAAGCATTTTGATAGAGGCAGGGTGTGGTATGTAAAAGATGATTCTGGGGGTTTCAGCCTAAGTGACATTTCCTCTTCCATGTTAGTACCTTGGCTTATTCTGTGCCTCCTCCTCTTTGGAAAACTCTCCCCCAACCCCTCTACTTATTTGAAGCCTATCTATCTTCTGCAAAGGCCAGCCTGAGTCCCTGCCTCCTGGATGAAAATTCTGTCTGACCTCCTCTAGATCCATGGGGATAATAGCTGCAGTTTTATCTAGACCTTTCTAACATATAAAATGCTTCTCTCTGCTATCCTCCTCCAGAGAAAGAACTGATAAATAGAAGTATGCTTAGTATGGTTTTGCATATACAAATATATTTATGTAGTAATAGGTAATATAATAATGTAAAAATATATAATAAAAATTATATCTATAAATAAACATATATCTGTATATATATGTTTACATCAAATGGTGGTCTTCTCTGGTGCAGGTGGGGAGGGAGGGAGGGAGATAGTTTGGAACTTAAAATGTAACTAAAAAAATAAATTAAATTAAATTTTTAAAAACGCTTCCCTCACAACAGCCCCATGAGACAAGTAGTATAGGTATTGTTATTTCCATTTTACAAAAGAGGAAACTGAGGCTCAGGAAGGCAGAGTAACTCACTCAAAGTTTTATAGCAAGTGACAGGGCTAGTACTCAAAAATCCAGGTGCTCCATACTCCATATCTGGTGTAGAATCACTAGGGCTTCATGCAACACCCATTGTAGCTTTGGGCACATCATATACACTACTTAGGCTGGTTAATATTTGTGTTGCCTAGATTCTGAGCCCCTGGGCAGGGCCAGGGTCCTATGCTCCTCGTACCTCCTTGGCACCTATTACAGGGGCCCGGTATGCAGTGGAGTTTAATAAGTAGGTAGTGATTGATTTTTTTCCCCCTTAATTTCATTCTAATTAAATTCACTTGCTACTTTCTCACTACTCTTCTAAAGAGATCATGTGCCATTACATAGAACAGAAAATTTAAAGCTCACATCAAACATAACAAGATTAGAGGCAGAAAGGGTGAGGATGTAAAGTAGCACCTGGAGTCAGGAAGTCCTCAGTTTGAATCCCACCTCCAAAGCTTTCTATCTAGATGACTCACCTCCCTCCCTGGGCAAGTCCTTTCACTCCTATGGTGCTATGAGCCTCAGTTTTGTCATCTGTAAAATGGGGATAATAATAGCAGCTATCTCATAGGGCTAACGCGAGGTCTTAATGAGATTGTGAAGCATTTTGCAAAAAGCTTAAAGCACTATGTCAGTTAGCTCTAATTAGGTCATTTATCCACCTCTAGGAGGGTGCTTCTTTTATTCTCATAGAAGGTTCCTTTTATTCTCATAGAAGGGGGTGAGAAGCATGGGGTTAAGGAAGGGTATCATGAAGAGCAGGGTGGGAGAGGAGTGGAGGAAAGCGGATTGGAGCTAGCAGAAGGTCGGTGATAGGAAATGATGGGACAGCAGGTAAGGACAGAGGTGAAAGGAAGATGGAGGGCTAGGGGTGCAAGGTCGGTTACTACCCCAGCTTACATGTGGGCTCCAGGGAGGACACTGCAACCTTCACTTTGGTGGGAGTGATGAGGGCGCAGCAGAGGACAGATGCCCTTCGGTTGGAGTGGAGAGAACTGCAGGGAGTCAGGGCGGGGAGCCTCCCTCCTTCAGGGGTTTTCAGGAGGACTGGCAGGGTGGGCACCAAGGGGCTGGGCCCCCCCACCCAGAAGTGGGCAGGACCCTGCCCTCATACCTGCTGCTGGCCCTGGATCCTCATGTACTCTGACCGCTGTTTGCTGTGCTTGGCTTTGTCAGGGCTGCTTGGCTGTCCTGGCTTCAGCCTGGATGCCCCTGGTGTCACCATCTTCATGGGTGGGATGGAGACCCCGCTGCTCTGTGGGGGGCAGAAACCGGAGTGAAAGTTGGAGAAAGTCCTAGAAAGAAGGGGATTTGGGCTGGGCTGGCCCCTCTCCTTCCTCTCTCTGGAGCTATTCTGGCAAGATCCTTTCTGGGCCCCGGGCCCCCTCTTTGGGAATTCTCCGGATCCCACTGACACCTTTCTTGTCCCTCTGGGCCTGGGGCCCTATCTATAGGATCTCTCAGCAAAAAGGGAAATCCGCTCCCTGGCCAGTTCTTCACTGCTTTAGTCAGAGCTAAGTAGACAAAATGGGCATTGATCTCAGCAGATGTCAGCCTCCTCAATCTTCTAGAACAGGGGTGTGTAACATTTTCTGTGGGTGTCATGGACTCCTGTGGCAGGATGGTAAAGCCTAGGGACCCTTTCTCAGAACAATGTTTTTAACTGAAGGAAATACAAAATTTTAGTTAGAGGTCTGAAAATAAAGATGCAACCCCCTCCCCATTCTTCAGATTTATGACTCTGTGGACCCTAAATTAAGAGCCCTTACTTGAGAGGGTGTGAGGCATCAAGGCACAGTAGGGCAGTGGATAGAATGCAGGGCCTGGAGTCAGGAAGACTCATCTTCCTGAGTTCAAATCCAGCCTCAGACCCTTACTAGCTGTGTGACCCTGGGCAAGTCACTTTGCCCTGCTTGCCTCAGTTTCCTCATCTATAAAATGAGCTGGAGAAGGAAGTGACAAACCACTGTAATATCTTTGCCAAGAAAACCCCAAATGGGGTCACCCCAGGTTAGACACAACCGAAAAATGACTGAATAACAAACAAGCTTGAGAGGGTGAGAGGTTCTTCTGGGGTTTTCCTGCCTCCCTCTCATGAGAAGTGCCAACAACCTTAGGAAGGCGGCCTTCTCAGGTCACTTCAAAGAGGGATGTCACTGGCAATGTTGACCAGAGCAGAGGAAGACAGAGATGGCACTATGTTTGCAACAGGAGAGGACTGGATTACAATGACCTCCCTGATCCTATGATCTCCACACCCAGGCAAAGAGCCCAGTACCAGAGCACTAATGCTGCCAGGGATTTTGGAAACCATCTCCTATTGGTATAACGCTCCCATTTTGCAGAGAGAGGAAGCTGAGGCCCAGAGAGGGCTAAGAACCTCAGTCTCCTGATGTTGCTAACTCACTGTCCTCCATACTACACTGCTACATGCTCGGGGGCCAGGTTCTCCTCTCTTTTTTAGTTAATGGGCCTCGATCTTTCCACCTTCCTTCCAACCATGAGTGGGAGCTTTGAGAATGGTGGATGGCAGCAGACCCACTCAAACACCAGGTCCTGGTCCTACCCAAAGAGGAGAAATAAAAAGAAGCTGGAAGGGAGAGACACAGGCAGAGATAATTCAAGAGACAGATAAAGAGTCAGAGACATAAGTGGTGGGAACAGGGGTAGGGAGGAGGGGGACGGTATTTTATTTGTTGGCTGTGGATACAAAGCAGGGGGTGGAGGATGGGGGTATGGCTGGGGGTGGTCACAAGTGGAAGCTGGACCCCTCTTGAACCCTGCATCTTCTTCACACCCTCCTCTCATCCCAGTGCAGGAGCCAGGAAAAGAGCTGGCCGAGAGCTCAGGTGAGCCAGCTTCCCAGCCTCACCTGGACGCCATCCACCCTGGACACGCAGCCTCTGACTCACTATAGTCACAGGGCACAGAGGAGAAAGAGGCCCCAGGGCAGGTGAAGACGGGACTCAGGTCTCCTCCATCCTCCCCACTTCCCATAACTCAGAGGGACAGAAGGGAGAAATGTGTGGAAGCAGGAAAGGACACAGGATAGAGCAGCCACCTGGGAACTGGGGGGCCGGGACAAGGTCCCAGAGAGGGTGCCAATAGGGGGTGCCAAAGGGACCTTGCCCATCGCATTCAGTGTAGCCTCCAGCTCCTGGAGGGTCTCCTCCAGACTGTCAAGTTGCTGGAAGGGGAGCCAAGGGCTGGCATCTCTCTCTGCTGAGTCCAAACCAAGGGGACCTTTCTCACTCTGGGCCTGAGACACAGTCCTCTCTGCACAGTCTCCCATGGGCATGTGGGTATTATGCTCAGAGTGTGTGATGGCTTCTTCTGGGCTCACAGTGGTGGGGGCAGCCACTACAAAGACACCTGGACACTGACTTCTGTCTGGCCCCTCTTCCTTGCGGCAGGTCAGCCTGGCTTCTTTTTCTTCTACCAGCTGTTGGATGGTTCTTTCTGCAGGTGCTTGGATCTCGGTGCCCACCGTTTTCAATGATTCCTTTCCCTGTCTTGGCCTTTTGGTACTCCCAGGTGGGGAGGCATCAGCTTCTGCCAGAGGCCTCATCACCACCAATTTAGCCAATTCAGCCTCTGTCATGTCCTGGCCAAGTGGTGGTGCTTGGCAGTGGTCAGTGACTCTGACTCTACGAGCAGTCACTAATGCCCGGGGCAATGGGACGGGCATTATCCTTGTGCCTGTCTCTTCGGGAATAACCTCTGGAGGTGATGGTGGGTTGGAAGCACATTCAGTTAGGATGATCTGGGGGATACAGAAGCTTCTGAGGAGTGGGGCATTCTGGGGGGAAAAGAGAAATAAGGAAGGAGAGTGAATGAAGGACCCCCCCAAAAGGGTCCTCTGAGCCATCCTGCCAATCCCACCTCTCTCAGTTCTTTCTGGGGGTTTCCCAAAGTCAGCCAAGGGCAGGCTCAGCCTATGCCCAGCTCTACTTCCACCCAAACCCAGGGAGTCCATAATCCCAAGACTAGTACTAGCCTCTGCCTAGAGTAGTCAGTGAAGAGAGAAACTCCCTGCCACTTGGAGATGGCACCAGAAAGGTATAAAGAGAGGTACCAGAAACCCCTTCCCCAAAACCCTTCCCCCTGCCTGAGGTGTGTACTTACCTGCTGCTGGGAGGGATGAAGCCTCTGTGGAGGCTTTGGGTGAGGATACTCAAGTTGGCACCATACCCAAGGCGTTCCACCTTCTGATGGTGCAATGCAGGACACAAAGTAGTTAGCTGGGCCCGTCTGGTCTGGTGCTCTGCCTCCGCACACATGTACGCGTGTGTGCATGTGTGCGTGTGTGCATGCGCGTCTGCGCATGTGTGTGTGTGTGTGTGTGTGTTGCAGGCTGTATATGTAAGATTACCTCAGGTGCTGAGGGTAGGGGGACAGGCTGTGAGACTAGCCTCCCAAACCTAGAAGGAGCAGGGAGCCATGCCCAGCAAGACAGGCCAAGTTGCTGCTGCTCATATAAGGTTGGCTCATTGCTCAGCTCCTCCTCTCAGGGCACAGCCCAGGTTCAGGGGCAACCTCTCCCCTGCTACCAGGCCCTGTGTCTCTTGCACCCTGGGCATCCCGAGAGTGACTCTCTGCTAACGGGAAACTGAGTTTTCCTGAGCTCCCCTCTCCACCCTGAGGCATCTGTCCCTTGGGGGAGGAATTACAAGACAGCATTGGAGCTTCCAGGCAGAATGGAAATCAGACTATGGCCTGGAATGAAATGAGGCCAGGAAGCAATGCCCCCTCCCCCTAATCCTGGAGTAGACCTTCCCCAAGTTGAGAGCATCCAAGTTCCCCAGGTTCTGTCACCCTCTTCTACCAACAGTATCCTCCCATGGCAGAACCATCGCAGGGTCCCCAATAGGACAGAAGCCAGAGAAAAGGAATGGAAGTCAGGCAGCAGCAGGGACCGAGCTTAGAGAGAAGGAAAGACTTCCAGATGCTAAGAGATGACAGGACCAGAGGCTAAGGGAAGCTGTGGGATCTCCCAGGAACACAGATTTACAGATGAGGAAGTTAAATGTCTCAAAGGTAGACATGGTCTCCTTGGACCAAAGTGAGTAAGATGGGGCCAAAGAGGGGAGAAGAGGCCAAGGAGCAGTCTCATCCCCCAATGTGGGGGCCCCTACAGAGAGACAAAGCAGGAGAGAAGACACAGACTAGAGACACAGGGTCTCTACCCCGGGTCAGGCCCCAGAGGGGCAGAGGTGGTGGGCCAGACCATGCACAGGCAGGGACCAAGAAGCGGATTGCTGCCCAGGGGCCCAGGCTGAGGAATTCCTTCTGGGACTGGGGAGCCACAGGTTCCCCAAGGGGGAGGGGAGGAGGCTGTCAAGGAAAAGTTAAGAGTCCACTTGGTGGTGTGAGGGCAAGTCCATAAGTGTCATTCCCGGTAAGTGACTGACAGCTCAGAGGAGATGGTGAGCAGGTGAGCAGCATGTTAGCGTGTTAGAGTATTAGCGTGAAAGAGGCAGCAGTGGCAGAGGGCACTGTGAAGGGACAGGCAGAGAAACAGCAGTTGAAAAGAGGCTCAGGCTGGTTACCTTCCGTGGGGGGCCCAGGGTGAGCCCAAGGGGCCCAGATTCCTCGGGGGAGAGCGAGGCTGGGAGCGGCTGGCAGCGGGGCGTGGGGGAGAGGGGCATTGAACTTCTTTCAAACACCTGAGGAGGCAGAAGGTTGGGGGTGGGTTTGGAGGGGAGGATCAAAGCTTTGGGGCAGGGGGGGTCCATTCAGCTGCCTTTGGTCAGGGACCCCCAAGGAGGATGGGGGACACTGATTCAGGTCTCTAGCCTTGCTCAGGGAGGTGAGGGAAGAACCAAGGATGAGCTAACTCAAGTTAGCAGGGCTGCTTAAGAAAGAAACTCTCTGCTTCACCCTCCTGTCTCCTTCCCTTCCGGAGGACACAGTATAACCCCAAGAGCTATTCTCTTTCTTCAGTCTCAGAGCTTTTAGATATGAGAGATCTCTAAGTGCTTGAAGAAGAGAATATGAAAGACATTTCCTATCAACCTCACAGTCATGTGAGGAAGCGAATCAGAGTTCCTCCTCACATCTTATGGGGTGGGGTGGCGTGGGGAACTGAGGCAAAGAGGAGGATACTGTTAGCTCATAGCTAGCCCAGAGACTTGCGGGCAGAGCTGGGAACAAAAGCCGGGAGTTTGGCTCGTCTTGGCCTCAAGCCCTGTCTTCTTTCCCTGGGCATGGAAGAGGGAAGGAGCTGTTGTGCCAGGAGCCTGGAGCCTGGAGCCCAGGCTGAACTCTGTCACACACCTCCAGCTCAGCAATGATTCGGTCCTCATCGTCTTCATCCTTGATGGCTGACGCCATGATGGGCGGCGTGGAGGCCGGACGAACCACCTCAGACACTGTCCGGCGCAGCTTCACTTGGGGCTTCTGGACCTCCAGCTCCTCTGACTCTGCCTTCTGTAAGTGACCCCAAGTAAGAGAACCCAATGTCAACACTTTTACCCTCTGACCTCAGACCCAATTTCTCTGCTACTCTATTTGCCTTTCCTCCCATCCCCTGTACCTTATACAAACTCTCTCCCTAAGATAATGTCTTACAGTTTAAAGAACTGAGCAAGGCTCTATCCACTCCTCGTCCTAAAATACTTTTGTTGTTATTGTGTCCAACTCTTCGTGACCCTATTTGGGGTTTTCTTGGCAGAGATACTGGAGTGTTTTTGCCATTTCCTTCTCCAACTCATTTTACATATAAGAAAACTGAGGCAAGCACGGTTAAGTGACTTGCCCATGGTCACACAGCTAGTAGGTGTCTGTAGCTGGATTTGAACTCACAAAGATGAGTCTGCCTGACTCCAGGCCTGGCACTCTGTGCACTATAGTGTCACCTAGCTGCCCAATGAATGGTATTAAATATTTCTTTCATTTTCCCTATCCCCAGCCTCACCAAATTCCTTAACATCCCCCTTCCCCAGTTTCTCCCTTTGTTCCATTCTAGGAAGGATTCTCCTTCCACATCTGGAAGGATCAAAAAAAGTCATCTTGAGTACCCTGCTGCCTCCAAACAGGACCCGGGTTTCACCCCTCACAAAGCCTCTCTTTCCTTAGTCAGAAGGTTCCAATGTGCCTAAAGTGCACCCTCCCTCCCAGCTGCATGCCACCTGTCCTCGGCTGAAGGATATCCCTTCCTGGTAGTGAGGGATGGAAGTGGTACCTTGATGAAGGCTGAGTCTTTCTTGCTGGTGACCACAACCTCTCCGTGCGGGTGGTGGTGAGGCCGTGGGAGGAGGGGAAGCTTCGTCGGGGAGGGGGTGGCGGGGGTGACTTAGAAGGCTTTTCTGTTCGGTATCGGGGCACAGTCAACTCATCTAGAGACAGAAAGGGAAGGGAGTGCATCAGAACACTCACCTGGGAGCTGGGAGGATACTCATGCTATTCCAAAGGGGAGAGAACTAAGAGTCCAGGGCCTTGTTCCCTTGGCCTGATCCCAAAAAAAGCAGCAAATCCTGATGCCGTTTGCAGCTTAGGACCTAATCATTCTGCTTTCTTTTCCATAATACAGATTACCCTGGTCCCTCTCATTCCACAGGGCAGAAACTGTGCCTCTTTCATCAGACTGGCAGCTCCCTGAGGTCGAGCAGGGACTTCCCTCCCTCCAATGTACCACTGCCCAGTGCTTGGTCTGGGCCTCCTCTACCTGAGCCCCTCCGCCCACTGGCCTCTCCACGTGGGGCTGCCTTCTGGCCATGGGGAGCTTTGGAGGGCTTGTGCTCAGGGGTGGGGGCTGGCCCCCGAGGCTTTCCCGCACAATCCAGGTCTGGGATGGCCTTCAGCAGCTCGGCCTGGGTCTCTTCCAGCAGCCGGTTGATGTCCTTGGCACTGTACTGGCTCAGGGCTGCCCTCTTCTCCTCCCAGTCCCTCTCAGCTGCCTAGAGGATGGAAGGGGAAAGTCAGTCAGGAGACACGACTCAAAGCTGACCTTCCGTGGAACCCTCGGCCTGCCTCACTTTCCTCTACCACCCCTGCTTCCTCCTATCCTATCCCATCCCTAGGGAATAGCAGGGATAGAATAGGAGGCTCAAAGAAACATCTTTGCTATCCCCCCAAAAGGTATCAGGTTCAAGAACTTAGGGACATCCAACCATTTTATGCTTTGCAAAGTGTTTAAGGAAACCCTGGAGGCTTCATTAGTTAGTCAACAAGCATTTATTAAGCATGTGCTACGTGCCAGGCACTGTGCTAAGTATGGGGATTTTTTTTAAAAAGGTGAAAGAGTCCCATCTTGGGGACAGGAGACACTCAGATTCCCACTTGGGAAGCTGTAGTAAATATCCACACAGCCAGCCATTTTCTCCATCCCAGCCTCCACACTTGGCCATCCTGCCATCCCTCACTCCTCACCCCAACCCTGGACCAAGAAGGGGCAGGAGCCCAGACATGTATGTCCCCGACAGCCCACGCACCTCCACAGACACGGCTTTGTCCACGCTTCTCTTGCTGGGTGTTTCAGGGCCCCTGGAGGGATTGGCCCCCTTGGGTATGTGAGCAGTGCCCTCGCCTGGCCCCCCCAGCTCATGGAGGCTCAGGGGAGGACTGGGGGGTGGCACTTCAAAATCCAGGCTTTTGCCAAAGTCACACTCAGCTGTCACCTTCTTTGGAGACTGGCTCAGGAGGTTGTTTGGAGGTGGCCATGTGCCCTCATCCACTTGCCTGGGGAGACAGGTAGCTGTGAGGCTCTCAGAGTAAGGGAAGCAAAGCGGGCAGTCCCTGCCTGTCCTCCCCAGGTCTCTCATGTCCTCTGGTGGTGGGCATGTGAGAGGAGCTCGGGGCTCACCAGGGCTGGAGAGAGGGGGGTCAGGAGGGATGCAAAGAGGAGCGACTAGGTCAGAGGGGATACATCTAGGCCACACAGAAGAGTCTTGGGGCCAGGGAGCTAGCAGGTAGAATGTATAGAGAGGGTAAGCTGGGCATGATTTCAGATCTGGGGCCAGAATGATTCCATGTGATGGGGCAGTCCCAAGATCAGAGTTATCAGCCGGTACGACGGTGACTCCTGGGGCAGGAGGTGGGAGGTCACGCTGACCTTCGGATCTGAGCCAGTGTATCGGTGACCCCTCGGCAGCGCTTGAGAAGCCCGTCCAGTCTCTGTGGCTCCTCCTTCAGGAACTTTACTGCCTCTACCTCTACCCGGAGAACCACTCGCATTTTACTCTGTAGCCCAGGGAATTGTGCTGGGGGAGAGAAGGGGAGAGAAACAAAGCAAGTGAATGCAGTACACATTGGAAGAGGAGAGCCCCCATAGCTCACAGACCATCTGGGCCAATCTGTACTTGAACAGGCAATGCTGCTACAATATTCCAGACTCCAGTGAAGACCTCTAGTGAAAAGGAACTCAACCACCTGTCTAGGGAGACACTTTCAGCTCTAATTATTAAGGAGTCCTTTCTCATTTTGTTGTGACCCATTTTAAAGTGGGGTGGTTTTTTTTGGCAAAGATACTTGAGTGGTTTGCCATTTCTTTCTCCAGCTCATTTTACAGATGAGGAAACTGAGGCAGACAGGGTTAAGTGACTTGGCCAGGGTCACACAGTAAGTGTCTGAGGCCGAATTTGAACTCAGGTCTTCTTGACTCCAGGCCTGGTGCTCTGTGGACTATGGTGCCACCTAGCTGCCCTGAGATCACACTACCTAGCCTTTGGATTCGTATTGAGCTTCCAGTCCACTAAAATGATGCCTAGACACCAAGGATGGGGGGAACAGGGGACTGTGCAATGAAGGAATGGGGAGTTAGACTGAGCAGGCAAGAGCAGCGCTACTCCCTATCCTGGGCCAGGCCACAGAGAATCACAGAATCTTAGAGATCTTCCATCCAACCCCTCCTCCCTGCTTTCATCCCTCCACTAAGTCCCCAGGCCAGGGCCACTCACACTTGAGCTCCGTGAGGGTCTCCCCCAGCTGTTTCAGCACCAAGGCCTTCTCTTCCAACTCAGGACCCGGGACTAGCCGATGGTTGTGGGACACCTCTTTCTGGATCTTCTCCACTGACTTCTCCAGATCACTGCAGCAAAGGAAGACACCACCACTCAGGACCCTCCACCCCCAGCCCAGGCCTACCCCTTCCTTCATCTCCCTGGGTAGCCCAGGATCTAGCACAAGACACAAGGCAGAAAAAAGTCAGACAAGGCCGTTCAAAATCAGGTAGGAACCAAGACACTGAACCTTAGAAGTCATCCAATCCAGGTTGGCACGAGAATTAGGAATTGCCATTATTATTAGCATTATTATTATTATAATACAGCATGGTATATTGGAAAGAGTCAGAGGATCTGAGTTCAAATCCTGGCTCTGCTGTTAACTACTTGTGTGACCTTGGGCGGGTCACTTCCATTCTCTTGCCCTCCATTTCCTCGTCTGTAAAATGAGGGGGTTGAATCTGAGGTCACTTCCAGCTTTAAGTATATGTTCTTTTGAGAGATAGTCTCTTCTTAAACACTTCCAGCAAAAGGAAGCATATTACCTCATAAGATAGTCCATTTCATTTAGACCAGAGTCAGGAAGACCTGAGTTCAAATCCAGCCCTAGACACTTACCAGGTGACTGACCTTGGGCAAGTCACTTAATCTCTTCTTGCCTCAGTTTCTTCATCTGTAAAATGAATAATAGCAACTACCTCCCAGGGTTGTTGTGAGGATCAAATGACTGGCACATGGTAAGTGCTATATAGATGTTAGCTACTATTATGATTAATTCTTAGGACATTCTTCCTTATGTGAAGCTGAAATGTCTCTCCTTAAAAATTCTATAAATTGCTCCCAGTCCTGCCTCCTGAAGCCACAGAGAAAAGTTAGTCTCTTGAACTCTCCCATAAAACGGAAGCAGATTGCAGAGTAGGTCAAAAACCAGTATCCTACAATATGTTGCTTACAAGAAACACACTTGAAGCAGGGAGACATACACAGAGTAAAGGAAAACCTTGTACAAACTGATACAAAGTGAAATGAGCAGAACCACAAAAACACTGTACAAAGTATCAGCAACATAATGTGAAGATCAACTATGAATGACTCAGCTTTTCTCAGCAACACAATGATCCGAGACAAGTACAAAGCACTTACAAAGGAAAATGCTATTCATATCCAGATAAAGAACTGATGGACTCTGAATGCAGATCAAAGCACATTTTTTCACTTTATTCTTTCTCGTGGTTTTTTTTAAACTTTTGATCTGTTATGTTTTACATGATAGCATATGCATAAACTTTATCAAACTGCCTAACCGTTTTCAAAAGAGTGGAGGGGAGGGAAGGAGAGAGGAAGAGAAGAAGGGAGAAAAATTTGTAACTCAAAATCTTATAAAAATGAATGCTAAAAATTTTCTTGATTTGTAATTGTGGGAAAAAATACAATACTATTTAAAGCAAAAAAAACTTTTTAAAAAGAAAAGCTAATCTCTGCTTCAGACCATAGTCTGTCCTATCCTATCAATATTTGAAACAAGAGATCACATGCTTCCCTAAGTCTTCTTCAGGCTAAACATCTCTAGTTCCTTATAGATCTGCATTTCTATGAGATATGGAAACATCTCAAATGAAATCAGATATATAAAGAGCTTTGCAAGCTTGAAAGTACCTTATAAATTCCAGCTATTAATAATAATTAGATGATGGTGGTGGTGGTGGTGGTGATGATGCCACCACCAGCAAATGAGATCATGAATAAATATAATTAATATAATAAAGTTTGCTTTGTAAACTTGAAGGTACTATATAAATTCCAGCTATTATTAATGAGTGCTATCAATATATAATTCTAAAACATCAATCAATAAACACTTATGAAGTACCTACTACGTGCCAGGCACTGTGCCAAGTGCTGGGCATACAAAAAGGGGCAAAAGACAATCCCTGTCCTCAAGTTGCTTACAAGCTAACAAAAGAGACAACATGCAAACAAATATATACAAAGCAGGCTATATGGAGAATGTAGAAAAACTTAACAGTGGGAAGATACTAAAATTAAGAGTGGCTGGGGAAAGCTTCCTGCAAAATATGGAATTTTGGTTGGGACTTAAGGGAAGCCAGAGAGGTCAGTGGGTGGAGCTGAGAAGGAAGAGTGTTCTAGGTAGGGGGACGGACAGCTATTATGTAACAATAACCATGTATTCATTCCAAGGCTTCTTGAGTGTCTGTTATTACACTGCTAACTCAAAAAAAGTTCATGATCAGTTAACGTGCCCAAAGCTTTTTCATACAAACTGCTTTCAAGCCATATTTTCCTATCTTGTATCTTCTAAAACTAAATTAAAAAAAAATTAAACATAAGACTTTGAGTTTATCCTTCTCAAATATCATTGCTTTAGCAGTGGTCCATTATTTTGACCTGTAGCAGTCATTTCAATTCTGATTCAGTCATCTGATATATTAGCTCTCCCATCTGGCTTGATATCATCTGAGGATGAGATAAGCATGCCTCTGGCCAAGCTGTTGACAAACACTGTGGGTCAGACAGGATAAGGATACAGCCCTGTGGCGTGTCAGAAGAGACATCCTCTCTGGTTGACATTGAGCCAGGTATCAACTTTGCATCCAGCCCACTATGAGGCCACCGAACTGGCTAACCAACCAGCCTGAAGCTCTCTCCTCCTCCTCCTCCACAGGGATATTGTGGGAGACTTTGTCAAGGACCTCACTGAAATGAAGTTTCTCTATCAGGCTGTAGGTTGGAACAAAACCCAGCATAAGTCAGAATGGAAGAGGGCCTGAGGGAAATGACCTCTGGGTGTCCAATGAAGATACAAAGCTGTCTAAGTGGAATGATATCTTTCTCCCAAAGCAGCAGAATGGGGGTTTCTTGGAAGTAGGCAAGGGAGTTACAGTCTTATTTTTTTAAGTTAAGTGACTTGCCCAGGGTCACACAACTAGTAAGTGTCAAGTTTCTGGTCTGAGACTGGATTTGAACTCAGGTCCTCCTGACTCCAGTGCCGGTGCTCTATCCACTGCGCCACCCAGCTGCCCCAGAAGTTATAGTCTTGTATTTGTGCTCAGTACCAAGCATGATGCTTCACACAATTTGTTGTTGCTGTCGTTTAAATGCTTCAACAGTGCCCATTTTGGGGTTTTCTTGGCAAAGATACTGGAATGGTTTGCCACTTCCTTCTCCAGCTCATTTTACAGATGAGGAAACTGAGGTAAACAGCATGAAGTAACTTGCCCAGGGTCACACAGCTGTAAGAATCTGAGGACATATTTGAACTCGGGTCCTTCTGACTCTAGGGCTCCATCCACTGCACCAGCTAGCTGCTTCTTCATACAACAGTAAATGCTTGACAAATGTTAGTTGTACTAGATTAGGAAAGCAGTGACTCACTATTGTCTGGCCTCTTCTAGTTAGCAAGGCTCCAAGCTAGGCTCTGATTGGGTCCACCCTTTTCCTGGAGAATTGGTTAAAGGGGGAAATAGGGAGGGGCATCAGAGAAACATTCAAGGACTTAAAAAAAAGTGGGCTTCAGGGCAGGATTCTAATGAAGAAACCCTAAGAGAGCCTTTTGTGTACATGGAAGGAAGAATAGCACTTGAGGAATAGAAACCGAGTCCAAGTGTTCCTCTGACATATAGAGATATTACATCAGTAAATGTTTGACAGCTTGCAATCTACACCCACCCACATGATGTGACCTTGATCCTCAAAACCAGTTTATGAGGGAAGCAGGTCAGGGATAATTATCTGTACTTAACAGATAAAGAAACTGAGGTCCACTTCTTTGAGAGAGTTACAGAATAAAGAGGTAAAGAGGAATCTAGGAGCCTTCCTCACTGAAGGGGAGGGCAACTATAGATCAATAGTTCTTAGAATAAAAGGACAGAAAAGATATGTAGTGGGGTGGGGGTCATGGGAACAAAGAAGATGGTGCACTGTAGAGAAGGGTATTCCATTGATATCTCCAAGAACACCAGAGAACACTGTTATCCTGGGAGCCTTGAGAATGTCAGAGTTTTGTAACTCCCCATGCTTGTTATTTTTACCCCTGCCTGTGTCCCAATGATTGCTGGCAGCAGAAAGCCTCAGGAAACTCCCAGAGGGCTGTGCTTCCTTCAGGGACAAGAGGGTTGAGGAGAAGCTGGGTGACTGCCAGGGAACAGGAAGAAGGAAAGAGAAACCCTGGCTAGAAGGAATGATGGTGGGGGCAGCTGGAAGAAGGCTGGGGAGTCCAACCCTGGTACCATCGAAAGAGAAGAATATTGTGAGGAGAGGGGAAGCACCTGCTGCAGAAATGTTTTCTTTTTAATATGGCCTGGGGAGATATTGAGGCCAGGAAACACATGAGAAAACTGAGGCATAGAGGTTAAATGACTTAATCACAGTCACAGTTAGTAAGGAACAGAACCAAGATTTCAACCTAGAACCTCCTTCCCCCTTCCTCCCAAGAAGGATTGGGGGTCAGGGTGTGTTGATTCTGGTAGAAGGTAATTGTTAATTTTCACCTTCCTTAGAAATCTTCAAATGCTACAAATAAGGACTTGATTTATCATTTTGTTGATTATATGGGCTTACGAAAGTGACAGGGAAAATGTTGATAATGCAAATTAAACTGAAAAGTGTATCACGTATTTTCAGAGAGTGGGTTGGTAAGCATTCACCAGTACCACCCATGGTTGGGGAGAAAGGAACAGGGGAGTAGGAGGGTGGTGCCTAGGCACATAGTAAGTGCTTAATAAATATTTACTGATTGATTGCTAAGTTAGACTAATAAGAGACTGATTTTTTCATTAGATTTGGATCAGAAATTCATCCATTTCTATACTCTTGTGGGTTTCCAGATCCTTTCCTCCACCCCTCCCCCAACACGAACATACTTTGTTCCCTAGTTTTAAAAAAAAAATCCTTCTGAAAACCTCATCCCTGGCTCAGCAAGATGAAAGGAGAGGGTTTTCCGCACTTCAATTAAGTAGAGAACAGGGAATCACTCTGCCCCTAGTGGCCATATCTGATATGGCAGGGGCAGCTGCCCAAGGTACCAGCTCGTCTTGGGAGGACCCCCAGCTCAGGGAGAAGGGGAGCCAGCTACCTACAACAACCAGAGCGTCTTTGGCCCCAACAACCCTTTACACTGGTCACCAGCCAGAAGAAAAACCAGGCTGTGGGCCAAAAGCGGGGCTGAGACGCAGGCAAGTTAGGAAAACTGCGGCCCCTGCATTTCTGCCAGTCTACTGCCAGTCTTCTTCCTATCATGTGTGACTTGACCAAACATAAAAGAAATGCTCGAATTCTCTGGAGAATGAAATTATATTAAGAATGAGATGCTGAGTGGAATAATGGGAAGGGGACTGGATTTGCCATCAGCAGCCCTGAGGTCTACTCCATCTCCCAACTCCACGTCTTTGTCCTGGCTGTCCCCCATGCCTGGCTTAGCTTCCCTGGCTTCCTTCAAGTCTCAACTCAAATGCCACCTTCTGCAAGAGGTCTTTCCCTGCTCCCCTCCCCTCCTTCCCTCTAAGATTACTTTCCATTTTCACTGACGAGATTTTGTATGCACATAGCTATTTGTATATATGTTGCCTCTCCCATCTTCCACCCCCATTGAAATGTATACTCCTGGAAAGCGGAGACCTCATTTTTTGCCTTTCTCAGCATTCCCAGCATTTAGCACAGTGCTTGGCACACAGCAAGCAATTAATAAATGCTAGTTGACTGGATTGACCATGCTGCTACTTATTAGCTGGGTGATTGTAGGCAAGTGCCTTGAGGTCTCTGAGCCTCAGTTTTTCTCATCTGTTAGATGGGGATGATGATACCCACACTCACTACCTTGAAGTGACTTACAAACCTTAAAGCACTGTAGAAACACAAATTATTGTTGTCATTTGGAAAAAGGAATTTTCAGAAGTATCTCTCATCATTCATGGGCTCACAGGTCTAGAGCCAGAGGGGGCCTTGGGGACCATCTAGTACAATGCTCTCATTTTATAATTGAGGGGACTAAGGTGAAGGGAGGTTAAGAGACTTGCCCAAGGTCACACAGGTTTAAGTAAGCATCAGAAGTAAGATCTCAACCTGGTCGTCTGACTCTAAACTCTTTTTTACCATACCACACACTGTTTCACATTCTTTGACTTAGACTCTAGGTCAAATTCCAATGATTCCAAGAGATTCCAGTGACAGGCAGATACCCCAAGGAGATTAAAGACAGACAGAAAGGTCCCATATATACCAGCATACTTATAGCACCCCTCCTTCCTCCTTTGGGCTACGCTATAATAATAATAACAATAATATGATGATAATGATAATAATAATAATAATACCTAGCATTTATGTAGTGACTACCATATGCCAAGCCCTGTACTAAGCACTTTACAAATATCTCATTTGATCCTCACAACAACCCTGGGGAGTAGCTGTTATTATTATCCCTATTCTACAGTGGAGGAAACTGAGGTTAAATAGAGGTAAAGTGATTTGCCCATGGTCACTCAGCTTTCAAGGGTCTGAGGCCAGATTTGAACTCAGATCTTCTTGACTCCAAGTGCAGTGCTCTAACCACTGAGTCTAGCTGCTTTAGTCATCTGCCTCTTGTGCCTATCCCAACTACAACTCTGGCCAGAAGGGAGCAATTCTCCTGGGCCAGGAAAACTATGAACGAAAGCCAGTCTCCCTCCTATGCCCCCTCCAAAGGAAGGTCCCCTCACTTGAGCTGCTGGGTGACCAGCTCCTCCTCGCTCAGATAGCGCAGCCTCTCCTCCTCCACCAGGGTACGCTGCCGCTGAAGGGGGTCCTCCTGCTTCCGGACAGCTTCGGACACCCGAAGGCTCAGCTCAGCCTCTGTGCGCTTCAGCAAGGTTCGAACAGATTCCTGATTTTGCAGCTGCAGGGAGACAGGGAAGACATGAGAGAGGAGACAGAATGGGAAGAGGAACCTGAGCAGGGCCATGCTGAAGGTGTAATCCATATGATTTTCAGGGACAGAGGAGAGACTCTGTGTCAAGGATGGGGTGAGGGAGACTCTGGTCTGCGATGTGGGGATGGTGGACTCTGGGTCAGAGATGTGGGGGTGGGGGACTCTGGGTCATATAGAGTGGATAAAAGGTCCTAGGAACAGAAGAGGAGGTGCTCTTGGTCAAGGGTGTGAAGGAAGACTATAAGCTGTGGATGCAGAGAGGAAGGGGCTCTGGGCCAGCATTTGGAGACAGGAGGGCTCTGCTCCAGCAAAATGGGGAGAGGAGGCTTGGGGTCAAGGATATAGGGAGGGATTCTGGGCCATAGATATGGAAGGGAAGCTTTGGATATGGATAGAAGGGACTTGGGGACAAAGCTGTGGCATGTGGAGAGGGGACTCTAAGTCAGGAAGGAAAGGGAAGGGTAGGGTAGTACATCTCAGTATTAGACCCTAAAGGATCAAAATCAGGAATAAAGAGGATAAAAGATGGAGGTTCAGAAACTGGAGTGTGGATTAAGGGGGGGGTTAAATGCCTGCATGTAGACACAGAGGAAAGAGTACCAGGAGCTGAGAGCTGAGTATTCCAGGTGGAAGACCACAGTTCAGCCATAGGTTGGGGATTCCTAGGCCTGACCCCTGGTCTCCTCTTAGGGAGGAGGCTATGCATCTTGTCCTGTGGCCCAGATGGCAGTTTATCCCTCCTCCTCCTGGCCTGTCTCTGTGCATTATCCTCACCTGAAAGGCAGTGGTTCCCTCACCAGGAACTACACACAGCAGTGCCTGGCTCCTGCCAGGTAGAACCATCTGCCAAGAGCAGCAGGCCAGAGATAGAACCAGGAAGCCCGCCCTAGCTCTGGGCTCACAGAAACTGATGGGCAGGAAGGGAGATTTATTGCTTAATCAGAAAGGAAGGAGATGCCTGGTCAGAGACAGTAAAGCATGTGGAATCCAGGAATGAGGGCTCAGGAACCCAGAATTTTCCCTGAGCTAAGGAGTCCCAGGGACTAGGCTAAGTCCTCAGGCTGGGGCCATCCTACCTGCATTTTGCGCAGCTGCTGGAGTTGGCTGCGGAGGTCACTGGCGTTGTGCTGTAGGTCATGGAGGTGCAGCTGCATGTGTAGACGGGTGACGGCCGTTGGGGGGCCTGCCGGGGTGCTGCTGGCTGAAGGGGGTGGAGGTGCTGGAACCGGAGGGGCCCCACTGCTCCGCCCGCCCAGCCCACAAGCTGCAGGATGACAGGTTGGCACAAGGGCGAGTCCAGGAGAAACACTCAAGGCGGGCAACCTCCCCCTCCCCTTCCTCCTCCTCCTGCCCTTGCATTTCATCGTCCACCTGGGGTTACATAGGTCACACCTCCCGGCTAGATGGGAAGCTTCTTGAGGGTAGACTGTGACTTGTGTCATCTTCGGAACCCCAGAGCCAAGTATAGCGCTCTGCACATAGGAGGTTCTTATTATTTTTATTATTAACAATAAAATTTAGTTATTATTGATATTATGTATTATATGATAATATTATTAATGATATACCAGGCACTTAGCTAAGTGCTTTATAATTATTATCTCATTTGATCCTTACAACAACCCTGCAGGGTAGGTGCTGTTACCATTCTCATTTTACAGATGAGAAAACTGAGGCTAAAAGAGGCAAAGTGACTTGTCCAGGATCACACAGCTAGGAAGAGCCTGATTTGAATTCAGGTCTTCCTGATTCCAGGTCTGGCCCTCTACCCACTGAGTCACCTAGCTGACTATTTTTAACACATTTCTATTAAAAACAGGGCACCTGCAGTGGACAGAGTACCAGGCTTGGAGTCAAGAAGACTCATCTTCCTGAGCTCAAATCTGGCCTCAGATACTCTCTTTCTATGTGACCCTGGGCAAGCCACTAAACCCTGCTGGCCTCAGTTTCCTCACCAGTAAAATGAGCTAGAGAAGGAAATGGCAAACCACTAGCTGTGTGACCCTGGGCAAGTCACTTCACCCTGTTTGCCTCAGTTTCCTCATTTGTAAAATGGACGGGAGAAAGAAATGGCGAATCACTTCAGTATCATTGCCAAGAAAACCCCAGATGGGTCACAACGAATCAGAAATGACTGAGCAGCAATAGCAACAAAATTAAAAATGAACTGAGATCAAGAAGGGAGTTGGAGCAAAAAAGCTTATTTCAGAAAGTTCGAGCTAGAAGGGGCCTCCGGGATCATGGAGTACAACCACCTCTTTTTACAGAGGAGGAAACTGAGGCCCGGAAAGGTGAAAACACTCAAACTCACATAATGAAGTGGCTGAGCTGGGCCCACAGCCTATGCTCTTTGCACACCCCCTCCCCATCTTGTAGTTCTAAGTATTCTGTTCAAGCATATCATCGTTTTTGTTATTAATAGCTTGGAATGTACAGTTTCATTTGAAGCAATTTCCTAAGGCTGCTTGCCTTTGTTCAGATTTTAATATATTTATTTATACTTAATATATAATAATGCTATGCATTATATAGTATATATAACATCATATAATAATATATAAAATATATTTAATATATAACAAAAATACTTTGAAGAACCACCATGAAATGAGTGGAGCTGGTATCATTACATCAATGGACTCTAAAACAGGGGCTCCAAATGGTTTTTTGGGTCACAGACCCCTTAGTTGGGCTGGAGAAGCTTATGGGCCTCCTTCAGAATCATGGTTTTTTAAAAGCATAAAATAAAAAACAGAGGAATACAATTCTACTCAAATAAAGATGTACTTAAACCCCCTGAAACTGAGTCACTGACCCTTAGGGGGTCCATGGACCCCAGGATAATAACCCCTGCCCTAAAATTTCTTCCACATCTTAAATTCTGTAATTCTGTGGCCACCCTCCACCCATATTATCAGTCTGGAGAGCTGGATCGAGCAGAGGGAGCCCTCCTAAGAAGTAGGAAGCCCAGGAGAGCACGTTTCCTGCAGGGACATCTGATAAGGCTACATGCCTAGCACAAGAAATTTCCCCCAGGTGGGGATGGTAACCTGAGGATGGTTGGCCAGAGGGACAGGGGCGCACTCACGTGCTGAAGGTGTTGCTGCCCCGTTGGAACCTTCAGTCTTCTCACTGTGAAAGAGGAGATGAACAGGGTCAGCCATAACTGGAGAGATCCCACTCAAAGAACCTGAGAATGTCAGAGCTGGGAGGGATCAGACAGGCCATGTAATCCAGATTTAGGCCTCCCCCCCAGTCTTTTTTATTTTTAACAGAAGAGGAAACTGAGGGAAAGTGTCTTTCCTTGCCATTTGTTTAAATATCTTTTGCTTTGGACTAACATGTCCTGATGGACTGGCCAAAAAGAACTCGTTACTGGGGGGAAAGGGCAGGAGGATGGGAGGGGGGGAATAGTAAGTTATGGTATTGAGTGGCTGCTGATGAACACCCATAGTGTGCCCAGAACCTAGGGCAACGGGAGATTCTCAGAGGGGTCCTGATCACCTAGGTAACAATTTCTCTCTCCTCAAATAATAATTTATATACTTATCCCCTTAATAGAATGTAAACTCCTTGAGGACGGGGGCTGTTCATCATTTGGTCTCCGTGTGCCTAGCACAGTGTAGGTTCTTAATTATTTTTGATTCATACTGGACTTCCTAAAGTCCTACAGAAGGCTGAGGGGAGGGCCTAGGGTACTGGTTGGCAGAAGAAGCCCATGAGCTCTGCACGGGGGTAAAGGTGGGCATCTTACTTGGGGGTCTCAGCCTCTGAACCTCGGAGAAGGGCACTCTGCACCAAGCCTGTCAAACTTGCAATCTGCTTCTCCATGGCTTCCATTCGCTCCCTAGAGTGTAAAAAGGAGGGCCCTAGTGAAGAGCCAGCCCCAGCCAGGCTCTAGAGACCAAACTTCCACCCCCCCTTCCCCGTAAAAACAAAGCTCAGATGCCCTCTTTCTCCCTACCACTGGGGTGGGTCTCTGTCAAACAAACTCCCCTCTTTCTATTCATGACCCTGAATAATTTTTTTTAAATGACAAGCTATAAACCATTCATTTTGACCAGCTGGTTTTTCCCTTTCATCAAATCCCATGCCCAGGCCCACAATGGGGCTGAGAAGGGGGAGATGGTACAAAGAAAGGGAAGGGGAGCTCTGTGCCTATAGTTGTTTCCTTGTCTCTGCTACTGAGGCCTCCTTTGGAGAGAGGCTGATCAGGGATGGAGAAGACAAAAGGCTCTGGACCAAATGGGGCCCTTCTTCCTCATTTCTCTGTCTGTCCTTTCAGACTGTAACCCTCAGCTCTTGTCTATGGTACCCCTTCCCAAAGGACATTCAGGGGCCTGCTCAGCATAGGGTACACCTGACCTTCCCTCCCTTGCACACACTCATACACTCAGACTTATACACATACACTAACATACACTTACACACAAATGCACAACTCTTCCCTCCCCCCCACCAAAAAAAATACCCACTCAGCCCAGCGGAGGATCTGGCCAGTAGCCATGCCCCACCCCAGGTCCTCCTTACCTGGTCTCTGTGTCCTTGGCTGGTACCGGAGGCCCAAAGCCTGCCAGTGGGCGCTCCCCAGGCCCTGGGAAAAGCTCTGATGGGGGCACCCCAGAAGATGAAGAGCCTCCCCCACCCCGTGGCTTGCCCCCTGGGCTCTCAGCAAAAACAGAGGATGAAGAGCCAGAGTCCTTGCGGAAGGACTGCCTGACGGGAGAGGAACGGCTTGGAGGCCCAGAATAAGGGCTGTGGGGAGGGGGAGGGCCGCCCTGGGGTGCTGCCACATCCACCAGTTTCTGGGGAGAAGCAGGAGGCAGACGGAAGCCAAAGCCGTCCCCATAGAGTGGCCCACTGCTGCCAGTGGCTGCTTTGTATAGGGAATCCTCCAGGTCAGATTGTAGGGCAGTAGCAGAATATGTGCTGAGGGATCGGACTGAGCCCCGTTTATAAAGTCCCCCGCCAGGGTAAGCGAAGGGGTCCCCTCCAGCTGAAGCCAAGCTCAGGCGCCCCTCGTGGAGCAGCCCGTAGGGGTCTGCATAGAGACCCTCCCCTTTCACTAACATCACCCCTCCTCCCTTGCCCGCCAGATCTTCATCGGGTTTCACGTCCCGCCTCTCCAAGATGGCACTGGGGCTGGGGGAGACGCCTGGGGCAGGGGGCACCCCCCCCAGCCTTTCTGAGTGGTGGACGGGGCTGCCAGCATAGGATGGGGGGCGGCCCCCACTCCCCCCTGCATAGGAGAGCCTGGACCGGGAAGGTGAGGCAGAGGGCAGGCCTGGAGGTGGGGAACCCGAGGACAGGTGGGGGGCCGGGGAGAGGTTGTTCAGGCGGCGGGTAGGAGATGACTCCCGGGAGGCGTAGACCATCTCTCTCTGTGGGAGACAGAACACCCAACCCCACACCCCATGTTATGTTTCACACCTGAGCTACCCCCCACCTCAGACCCATGATTACTGAGCCCATTCCTTAAGATGTGGTTTTAAAATTCAACATTCATCACTTGCCTACCCTGTGAAGTTCAGTGGTGCAGTGGCTACAGTACTGATAAAGAAGACCTGAGTTCAAATCTGACACTAACTGTGTGACCTTGGGCAAGTCATTTAACGTCTGTTTGGCTCGGTTTCTTCATCTGTAAAATGGGAACTAATAATAGCACTTACCTCTCCCAGGGTTATTGTGAGGATCAAATGAGATAATATTTATAAAGTGCTTAGCATATAGCAAGCCCTATATAAGTGCTAGTTATTATTGTTATTATCATTATTATTTGCAAAGTATTGAGCCAAGCTCTGGGAATAAGAAGATGGAACTGAAGCAGCCCCCGGCCTCAAGAAGCTTATATTCTAATGGAAAGAACAGCATGTACAAAAAAAAAAGTAAATACAAAGTCACCTATGGGGGTAGAGGGCACCTAGGAGCACCAAGAAAGGAGGTGACAGTTGAGCTTAGCCTTAAAGAAATCTACATGCAGATTCTAAGAGGCGCGAGTGCATTAAACGGGGAAGGCAAGGCAAAGAAGTGGAAGGTAGAATGTTGGCTCAGGGACAGTAAACAGGAACTGGGGCTGGAATGTAGAATTCAGGGAGTCATGGGGAAAAGCAGGAAGGTGGATCCAGGTAGTTCCAGACTAAGGAATTTGCCTTTCATCCCAGCAGCACTAGGGAGTCCCTCAAGCTTTTTGAGCAGGGGAGCAGCATAGCCTTTAGGGATTTTCCTTTAGGAATATTATTTTGACAGTTATGTGGAAGATAGAGGGTGGGGAGGGTAGGGGAAAGATTCAAAGCAGTGACACCAGTCAAGAGGTCATTGCACTAGTTTAGGTACGAGGTGATAAGGACCTGAACTAGGGTAATGATCATGTGAGTGGAGATATGGCAATGAATTCGAGAAATATAATAGAGGCCTTAGCAACCGATTGTCAGAGACAAAAGAAGAAGAAAGCGTTGGGGATAACTCTGAGGTTGCAACACTGGATGACTAAAAGGATTGTGGTACCCTCAAAAGAAACAGGGAATTCTTGAGTGGCAGGTGGGGGAGGGGGATTGGAAGGGAGGGAGGACAATGAGTTCAGCTCCAGTTTCAGACAGACTGGGTTTGAATTGCCAACAGGACTTCCAGGTGGAGCTGTCCAACAGGCAGCTGGAACTGGAGGTTAGCAGAGAGACCGGGTCTAGATAAATAGATGTAGGGATTTGTCTTTGTAGAGATAATAATTGGACACAGGGGACCCAAGAGAGGGCTTAGAAAAAGAAGAGAGAAGGCTCCAGATGGAGCCTTGAGGTATGCCCACATTTAGTGGGCAGGAGGATGGATTAAGAAAGGGAACTGGGAAACAGCAGTTGGGAAGATAACTTAGAGGGAACAAAGTCAAAGAAATACTCAAGAGAAGGCAGTCAACACTATTGAAAGCTTACTGCTATTTCAAGGAGGAAGTCTGAGAAAATGCCATCAGATTTAGAATAATGTGCCCTGACTTTGGACAGATCCTTCCTGCTGTCTGCCTTCAATCTCTCCTACTGCAATTTTCGTTTATTTCCTCAGCCCCATTCCCATAAGGAATTCTTCTGCTCAGTACTAGTAGAAAGGTAGATGGAAAAATAAAGAGATAAATGGAGTATCCTCAGAAAAGGCCCCAGAAAGGTCAGGAAGGGTAGATGCATAGGGCTGAGGGCCAGTATGGTATTAACAGGTGTTGGGTCCACTTTCTCCCATAGCCCCATGAAAAGCAACTCTCTCTTCTGTCCTCCAAGACTTATGGCCCCCCAGGTATTTGCCACACAGTTTTTCCCAAACCAGGTCTCAGCCTAGGCAGCTAGGTCTCAGAGGCAGCTAAGTAGTGCAGTGGATTGAGCTCTGGGCCAGGAGTCAGGAAGATCCAAATTCAAATTCAGTGTTAGATATCTACTAGCTGTATAATCCTAGGAAAGTCACTTTATTTCTGACTGACTTAGTCCCTCAACTGCAACATGGGAACATGTCTCAGGGTTGTTGTGAGGATCAGATGAGATAATACTTGCACATAGTAGGCCCTTCACAAATGCTTGTTTTCTTCCTTCTTTCCAGTGACCTGCCACCCAGGTACCTCATGAGCCCCTCTAAATGTCTCTTCACCACCCTCCCCCCAGCTTCAGGGCCCTAGGTCCTTACCCGAAGATCCCCATTAGTGAGGTGAGAGCCAGGAAAGGCAGAATAGAGCGGTTCTTTCCTGTAAATCTTGATAATACTTCGGTCTTGGATGTCCCTGGGGAGAGATGAAGGCATCACTGACCCCCATATCCAAACACAGACATAGACTGAGTGCCCTTCACTGAACCTTGAGAGAAATTATTTTTCTCTTGTATTAATAATCAATTATTGAATTAGGACCAAGGCTTTCTCCTTTTCTACTTCCTCATTAAAGATCACCCCCTGTAGGTTATTCAGGCAGCCTTTGAAGTGTAGAACTGACATAGAGAGGGAAAACTCAGATCTGTTCAAAAGGTAAAGAAATTTCACTTTAGGTGAATTGTTGGACTCCAGCCCAGTCTATTTCACTCAGACAGGTCTGGAAAAATGTGGATTCTCCCTTTTGTCTAGATTACCCTAGACGGGTGATATGGGTATAGATAAGTCTCTTTAACCAAAACTGAGTGATCAGTCACGTCCCCTAGCCCCTCACTAGAATAAGCCCACTTCTCATGATAATGTCCATTGTCTCCTTACTTGTTAACCAATCAGAGTTGATTTCCACCCTCAGGTGCACTCCCTTTTCCAAAGGCTTTAAAAGTATTGAACGTTTCACAGGTTAGGCCTCTTTGGTGTCAAGGGGACAAATGAATGCTTTTTGCTGATCGGCTTGCTAGCAGCATTTGATAAAATTGATTACAATTTACCTAGAAACTCTATCTCTCGAAAATTTTTACTGGCAGCAATCTCCCTGAGCTTCATTCTATAAAATGGGGATAATAATAGCACCTACCTCACAGAATTTGTGAGGATCAAATCAGATAATATATGAAAGCACTATATAAATATGAGATATTGCCATCATCACCATCTCATTACAGAGACTGGTGGTATATGGGAATAAAGGGGGATGGATAAGGACCTAGGAGTCCAGACACCCCAACCCAAGAGTCAGAGGAGGATCTGTGCAAGGATACTATCAATTAATTCATCAGTTAGCTAATTAATTCATCAAATAATCCACAGGTTGATGTGCCAGGCATTATAAATACAATGAATGAAATAATCCCCACCAAGAAGGCCCTTGTCTTCACATTATCTCCCTCTCCTCCAGAGGGAAAGAGGTGGAGGGATTCCTTGCACCTTCTGCCTTTAAGTGGAGAGAAGCAAACCAGTCCCTGGAGCCTGAATGTTACCCCCAAACCCTTGCCCCCTTACCGGACATCCTCAAGCTCATAGAAGATGTTTCGAGCCTCATCCTTGATGAGGATGGCCGTATTGGGTGACTTGAGCATGCCCATGGTGAGCTTCTGTGGGAACATGTGGGCGATGAGGGCATGGAGAGTGTCCAGGCTGCTGACCTCATGGGTGATGTGCACCCGACGTGTCTCTTCCCCAAACTGCAGAAATAGCACCCCTTGGAGGTGCAGGATACTGGGAGTGAGTCACTCAGCCCCTTGTCCTGACCCACCTCCCAGCCCAGCCTGCTGTGAAAAGAGCTGGGGAGTCATTAAAGGAAAACTTTCTAGGAAGCAAAGAGGAAGGGGGGGTGATGCTGCTAAGTTTAGACTCTGGCTGTATACACTGTATGAGGCTGTGTGCTCTTTTGAGGCATTAAAACACTAGCTCCTGGGGAGTAGTTGTGAGAGAATCCTGAGACATCCGAAACCTGAATGGGCAATATGGATATCCCATACAACCACTGGTCTGATACCACTGGTGACCTTGTGCCCCCACACTATTCATCTTCCCAACTGGGTCCCAAGAGAACTACAGAAGAGAGAAAAGGATGGAGAAAAAGGAGCTGGGACTGAGGAACTAGAGAAAGAGGAGCAAGGCGAGGGAAGAGAAAATAAAGGAGGGAGGGGAAAGAAGGGCTGAGAGCAAGGAGGGAGGGGCTAGGGTCAGAGGAAGCATTGAGTGGTAAAAGGTACTAGACTTCGCAGGTAACTTACTATGTGACCAGACGAATCATTTCTTCTCGCTGAGGTTGGACTTATAATGTCCCATCTACCTCTAATACTCTCTGACTCTGGAAAAGGGTTGAGGGTAGGGGTGAGCAGAGATATAAGGGAACAGAGGCAGAGGAAGGAAGTACCTGGGGATCGGAGCTTTGTCTGGCTAGTAGATCGAGAGAGGGGCAGGCTCTGGCGGAATCGATTCATCCTGCTGAAGCCGAGGGGCAGCTCAGCCTCCGACATGGTCTCCAGTGACTCAGCAGAGGCGAAGGACAACTTAGCTGCCTGGTCTGCCAGCCCTGGCTGGGCACCCTGTGAATGTCGGGAGCTTCGAGTCTGGGGCATAGAGAGGAGAGAGTGGAACGCAAAATAATAGCCTTAGTCAGCTCCCCCCACCCCATTCTGTTCTTCCTCCCTGATTCCAAATGCATAAGACTTAACAGATGTAGAACTGGAAGGGAACCTCTGAAATCATCTGATGCAAATCCCTCATTTTACATATGAGGATACTGAGGCCCAGAGAAATTAAGCAACTTTCCTAAGGTCACACAGCAATCATCAAAGGTGGGATTTGAACCCAGGTCCTCTGACTTAGCTTTCTTTCCACTGCAGTGTTTTCTTTCCACTACTCAAATACACCCACTCAATTCACACTCAGTCCCTCACCCACCTGCCCCAAACACACAAAAGATGGCCACTTCAATCAGCACCAAAGATCCCCAAACCAGCTCCATCCTTGATGTGCTGTGTGGCCTTGAGAAAGTAACTTAAGCTGTCTGAGCCACATTTGATTTGAGGGTGGAAAGCAAGGGCTTCAGGAGGAGGGAAATATTCTCTGAGACCCTTGGAGACAGGATCATTGAATCCTGAACAAGTGGCCACCCTGCTATTTTAAACTCAAAACAAACACCAACAATGGACCTATTAGGAGGGGAAATTAACCACCCTGTAAATTGGAGCATTAGCTCCAGACACTAATTAAGCCACGGTGAAGATCACTTCTCCTAGTTAAAGCTGGGGAGAGGGTTTGGGATTTGAGGTGCCTTCTGCACCTGTTAATGTCACAGAGCTGGAATGGGAGGGATGAAGGCTAGTTGCCGAGCCAAAGTTGCATCTAGACTATACACCCTCTTCTTCCTCTCCTCTTCCTCCTCCTCCCCCTACCTGCCAGTCTCCAGTTTAAGGACTGGTTTAAATGGGATTCCATGGAAGGCACCTTCCCAGCCCATGCATACTCATATCCTTGTGCTGCACAAGCCGGCCCTCTCCCCACCTTGCACCTGCCACCATATGCCATGCGCATGCCTGGTGAATGTTGGGAGGGGAGTCCTGCTGGATCACAATGAGGACCAGATCTGATGTAAAAAACTGGCTTGGAAACCTTGTTCTGATCCATTACTCCATCTCTTATGACTTTGGGCAAGTCACTCTCTCTTTTCTGGGTCTCAGCCTGTTCATAAAATGTGGGGATTGGCTCTTTTATTTTTTTTGGGGGGGGTGGCACTGGGCAGGAAGGACAGACACGTCTAGAGCCAGCATAGGAAGGAATTCAAGAGTCTCAACTCCTAGCCCCGACAAATGAAGGGCCTGGAAGTCCACACCCTCGTGAGACACAGGTACCATGCTGAGATCAGGCTTCAGTGACCCTGGAGCTGAGTGCCAGTATGGCAGACAGGTACGGAGAACCAGTTCTAGTCTTCAGCCAATGTCCCTCATCCCTTCAGACCCAGTCCCCAGGGCCAATGGGTTGGGAGTCCCCCAGTGGCAGAGGGAGCCAGGCCTGGCCTCACCAGCATGGTGCTTGCACTTGGGTTGCCAGGCAACTGAAAAGGTCAGTAGTTGCTGGGTAAGAGAGGACAAAGGGCTGTGGAATTCAAGGCAGATGGAGGGAGGCTTGCAAACATGAAGAGTCTGGCGCAGCGTCCAGCTGCAGCGATTACCCGAGCCTAGCGGGTAGGCATTTTAGCCGGCTGGAGGCATCTGGAGACAGGCAAGGGAACAGAGAGAGCGCCACAGAGCACAAGACACTGAGGGCAGAAGGGAAGGGAAGTGGGTACGGGTAGGGAGTCAGCTGAGCAGGGATGGTCCTGCTAAGCATCCTAAGCAGGTTTATGACCTTACAGGAAGATGTGTCCTCTTTAATCTCTTCGTTATCTTATTGCCTCCTCTGAGCTGGCATGCTCATGTGGGCCAGGTGCCCCAAGGGCACTTCTTTTCACCCTCTTGCCATCCCTTGGGTGAGGAAGAAGGAAGTGGGCTGTTAGAAGGGACTTCCCACCTCGGGTGAGAGAGAAAAGGGGAAATCCCGGCCATTGTTTTGGGGATATAACCTGAAATTCAGAGGCCTTGGTTAGAGTTGAGGGGATAATGGACCACAAAGCCCCTAAGCTCTGTTATGCTCTCAGCTTCTAAGTGCTAGGGGAGATAGAGAAGGGAGGTAGACATGAACCACCCAAAGGCAAAGCTTTTTCTTGTTCAGTCATTTCAGTCATGTTTGACACATCATGACCCCATTTGGGATTTTCTTGGCCAAGTGGTTTGCCATTTCCTTCTCCAGCTCATTTGACAGATGAGGAAACTGGGTCACATAGCTAGTAAGTATCTGAGGCTAGATTTGAACTCAGGAAGATGAGTCTTCCTGATTCCAAGCCCTGTGTTCTATTCACTGCACCACCTAGCTGCCCATAAAGCAAATGCCCAAGCCCATGCCACCCTAGAGCTGGACAGAACCCGAATTCCAATCATGATACCCTGATTCTTGCCAAACACCCCAAATCAGGCAAGATAATCCTGAAGTCCAGAGTCCTGTGGTAGGCAGCAATGCCAATCAGGATGAGAATGGAAAAGGGGTAAAGGTCTCTTGCAAGGGCAAGGTCTCTTGCCAACCTAGGTGGAGGAGACAGCGAACATCACCATAATGAATATGGTCCAGGCTCCGGCTTCCAAGTGGTCAAAAAGTAGCTTTTCTCCTGCTGAGTGCTTTCTCCTTCCTCCCCTAGACAAGCCTCTCACCCTTTACCCTCAATGGGTATGTGGAACACCTGGATGCAGGCCAGGCCTGATGAGTGAATGATGCACCCTTAGAAAGAGGTGTTATGCGGTCGATGTTGCTGGTTGGTTTTCCTGAACTGCATTTCTCCCTCCTCTCTCAGCTTTATTCTGTTACAAGGGATGGATTGCCAAATAGGGAAGAAGGCAGGGGAATAATTCAGAAATGAAGGTAAGATGTCAAAATAAAAGCTAGCAATACACATTTTTTTTTAAAAAAAAGAAATGAAAGGGGTGAAGGGGAGCCTTTCTGACCTTGGAGCAGCTTAACTGCAGTTTGTCTAATAGGTATGAGCAGAAGCGATTTGTTCCAATCTGGCTCCCCCTTGCCTATGAATGAAGAACTCTCCACCTTTGCTGATGTAACCATCTCAGCTTCGAGTCTAATTTTGCCTGGTGTTACTTTCTCTCCTGAATACCCAACTAAGGCAACTCTCTATAAGCTGCAGGCAAGGGACTAATTGGCATTGGCAGAAGAAATTTCTCACTGGAAGCTCGCTGCACCAATGAAATCACAGATCCAATCCCTCCTTCCCTCTCTTGCCCTCCCCCACCCCCAACAAATTACCTAGTAAAGTTTTATTTTTAACCCAATAGCATCTCAGTGGGATTATAGAAAGAAGAGTACTTATGCCTTGCCTAGTTAGGCAAGGAGGCTGGGGAAATCTAGATGCCCCAGAGACTGGGCAGGGGCTGGTGACTGCAAAGATGAGGCTGCCTCTTCTATCCCCAGCAGGTCAGGGCCCTTTTGGAAGATAAGGAACAGAGGCCCACGGTTCAACTGAGTGAATGTTTTCTGTACCCCTCAGAGGGGTGTTTCTTTAGACAAAACAGGAGGACCTTCTCCGGGGAGTATGACTGGATATACCCACTATAATACCCACTATAAAGTGAGGAGGTTTGGGTTCTGAATACACCCTGTGCCATTCACCCCTTCTCCCCATCCCTCACAAGTCACGGCGGGTGCCCAGGTTCTCCCCAGAAACAAAAGCAACAGCAGAAGCACCAGCTCCCCCATGGCCCACCGCCCCCTGCCCCTGTGAGATGCCCGTGCAGACACGTACACACATACACAGAACATGTGTGTAGTGGGAGGGAGGTGAGGGATAAGCACATGCAATTATCACAGAAGCGGGAAATATCAGACACACTGACCTTAAAACTCCAGTAGTTGGGCTGCTGACAGAAACAAGAGAAAAGAGGGTTATGTGGGGGCTGTGGTGGAGGATGAGAAGCCCCGGGGACCCATGGGAAAGGCTGCTCTACTCCTGGCTGCCTCATTTGGCCCACTGGCCCGGAGGGAAGAGGCAAACACACTGCTCGGGCATCTCTATCCCTTGAGTTAGAGGCTAGCTACTTTGCCATGAGACTTGGCAAGCCGACCTGCCCTGGGCAGAAAAGAAGGGAACCCTTGGGGAGGCCAGAGATGCTCCAAGATAGCTTAGGACCAGGGGACATAGCAGGAGGAGGAGCAGGGCCCAGGGCTGGTAGGACTTAGCCATCCAAGCCCCCATCCATTCAACCAAGACTCATTCATTCACTCAACTGCAAAATCTGCTGAGTACTCACTCCGTACAAGGCCATATGCTGGGTGCTCAATGGGATGTAGAGATGTATAGGACAGTCCCTGAATGACAGGAGCTTACGGTAAAATAACAGCTAACATTTCTATAGCAATGACCATGTGCCAGTTGTGAAGCTAAGCACCCTATAATTGTTATTTCACTGGAGCCTCACAAGGACCCTGGGAGGTAGGCGTTATTAGTATCCCCTTTTTACAGATGAGGAAACGGAGACAAACAGAGGTTAAGTGACTCGCCTAGGGTCACACAGTTAGTAAGTGTCTCAGACTGGATTTGAACTCAGATCTTCCTGACTCTAGGCCCAGCGCTCTATCTACTTCTAGCTGCACCTAGCAGAGGAGATGATATATGGACACCTAACTAGAGTACAAAGCAGGATGCACAGAAATAATAATAGTTAACATTCATATAGCACTTTAATATTTACAAAGCCCTATACATACATGCATTCTCTGACTTGACATATACAACTTTGTGAGGTAGATGTTATTATTCCCATTTTGCAGAGAAGGAAGCTGAGGTCAGCTAAGTGACTTGTCCAGGGTCACACAGCCAGCACCATCTTGAGGCCCGGTTAAGAACTCAAGTCTTCCTGACTCCAGATCCAGACACCTACCTGTCTAATAAGGGCCTTGTGAGTGGTACAAATGGATAAATGGGGAGACAGAGCACTTCTGGCCCATGGGGATGATCAGGGAAGGCTTCATGGAAGAGGCGGCATTTGAGCTTGGCCTTGAAAAATAAGGACGCTCTCACTGGATGGAATAGAGGAGAGGGAGTGGAGACCCACTGCTTCAAGAATGAAGGATGAACAACAACAATCTGCATAGGAGAGTTACGTGGACAGACTTGCTCATCAGGAAAACTGACCAGGCTGGATTGAAGGGGAAGAGCCTGGAGGCAGGGAGATTGAGAACTGAACTAACTCAGGAGTTGTTAGTGAGAAGGAAAGGAGAAAGGAGAAAGGAGATCTTAACTTCCAGGGTTCCAGTTAGTGAAGAGCTGAGGGACGGGAGCTCTGGCCTGACCCCCTGTCTCTACCCTTCTCCTTCTCTCTTCTCTACCTCAGGTTTACTGCAGGAGTACAGAGAAAATCCCTCAGAAAGACAACTTCTGGCAAAGGACCCAGCAAGGGTCCCATTCTACAGACAATTTTTTTTTAGACTAAATCTGTGATTTCATTGGGAAAGGGAATGAATGAGGAAATGCCCTCTACCAGTGCAGATGGGTACCCTACTTTGCAGCCCAGGTCACGAAGCCAGGATGTGTCAGAGAGGTGGTCAAACTCTAACAGAAATGGAGGTCACTGATCCACACATAAGAATCCCTTTGGGCCATATGGTAACTTAGAAAAACATAAAATAACATTATCTATGTCTTATTACATTTTAATTTATTTTGTTAATGATTTCCCAATTACCTTTTAATCTGGTTCTGGCCATACAAGGAAGCATTGTGGGCCCTGTTTGAAACCTCTAAACTATACCACTACCTCTCCTGACACTGATACCTTAAAACATAGAGCATCTTGAAATTTTTTGTTAAATTTAATATTTTTATTCTAAACTTAACACTCCAAAAAGTGAGAAGTTCCATATTAAAAAAAACAATAAAATGAAATTTGAATCTCCATCTCATATAACTTACTTTTTTTTGGCTTTTTGGTGAGGCAGTCAGGGTTAAATGACTTGCCCAGCTAGTAAGTGTCAAGTATCTGAGGCCAGGTTTGAACTCAGGTCCTCCTAACTCCAAGGCTGGAGCTCTATCCACTGTGCCACCCAGCTGCCTCTATAACTTACTTTTTTTTAAAGTATGTAATAAATTCAACACACAACTTTTAAAGCTGTTCTGCATGTAGACTGCATCCTCCAATTTAAAAAAAAAGCACTTTACACACACACACACATACACACACACACACCTGACTGTATTACTACGCACATTTTATACATAAGGTTAATTGACTTACTCAGGGTCACATAGCTAATAAGTGTAGGAGCTGGGTCTCAAATTCCAGGCTTCTGAAGCCCCAACCATCAATAGCTCCAACCCCTGGGACACAGGCCTGTCCAAATGCACTTAGGTGTTTTGAGCAAAGCACTGCTCTTTCCTCCCAGGGAGAAGTCGGAAGCAAAGAACACCATTAGGAAGCTGTCCACAGAGAGATAACGAAGGCTTGGACCAAGAAGGGAAAGGAGGGACGAGGCAAAAGTAAAACTGACAGGATTTGACAAGTGAACAGAAGACAGGTGTGAAGGAGGGGCCATCAAAGATGACACCCTGGCTTTGAGCCTGGCTGATGGAGAGAATGGTGGTGTTATTCACTAATGGTTACGGATCAAGGTCCCCTTGGACCCGTAAGCTCGGCAGCACAGATAGTGTCTCAGAGGTTTTGGGGATCCTCTACCACAAGGATTCATAACCTGGGGCCCGTGAACATAGGATTTTTAAAAAGATTTTGCTAACTGTATTTTAACATAATTTGTTTCTTTTGTAATCCTATGCATTTTATTTCATGTATTTAAAGATGTTATTCTCAGAAGGGGTTCATGCCCAAAACCCAAAGGGTCCAAGGAACTAAAAAAGGTTAAGAATCCCTGCTCTATGGAGACCAATATCCACTAAAAAGTTAGGAACTCTACTCCAGATGAATGGTACCCGGGAAGGAAGAGGGCTCTTGACAAGACAGAAGGCATCCTGCCAATCTGTGCCAGCCTCAACAAAATCTGCCCAGCAGGGGGAGGAAGGGCTACAGATGGTAGAGGCATTGCGGAAGGGGGTAGTTGGCATGGCTAGAATGAAGACAGTGCCCACTGGGATTCTCTCACAAGGCCTAGGGGGAGTGCTGGCAGAGAAAATAGGAGAAGGAGGTGGAAAGGACATGATCCCAGGTCCTTGGCAGGTATTAAGTGACACACTTTATAAGAGCTCCTATACCACTACAAATGGAATGTTGGGAAGAGTATAGTGGAACCAAGCAGGAATCAGGACAACATCCTACCCTCTTAGAAGCCTAGCGGGCACCAGGAGGCACAGCCAAAACCCTGGGCCAAGGCAGATGCATACACCTTCAGATGGGGTAGTCACATAGCCTGCAGGCATAGTGGGTGGGCAGCTCTTCAGGCAACTCCATAAGCTTATTTTGATGGTTCCTCTTTCCCCTTGTTTTAGCCATCAGTCTTTTTTTATTTTCTTGCAGGCCTCAAAATCAGTACTGACTGGAGCAAAAAACAAAGATACGGCTTTTGGAGGAGGCTGATGAGGAGAGGTCAGAATAGCATCTGCTTCCTTTCTCTGGAAACCTGGTCAAAGCAGGGCAGGTGTAAGCTCATCCCCATGAATGCTGACTATTCCAGGGGAACTCATAAGGGAAAGCAAGAGGGACAAAGCGAGTGAGTGCAGCTCTGGCCCTGCTGCTTGTGGTACAAGCAGAGGGCAGAGGCAGGCAGAGGGCACCAGGGTGATTGCAATGGGAGTCATGTCCACGAAGTGAGCAATGATGGAACGCTCTACAAAGGAGGCTGAGCTTCTCTTTCTTAACAAAGCCACAGCTTCAGACCTCCACCCTCACACATCCACAGCCTGGCACACGCCAGGAGACTGACACAGCCCCTATACCACATCCATACTGTTACACAGACCTTGCTTCACCCTCCCTGGAACACACTTTTGTGTTTGTTCTCTCTCCTCTCCCCTTTTCCCTCTCCCCTCTCCCCTCTCCCCTCTCTCCTCTCTCCTCTCTCCTCTCTCCTCTCTCCTCTCTCCTCTCTCTCTCTCTCTCTCTCTCTCTCTCTCTCTCTCTCTCTCTCTCTCTCCTCTCTCTCTCTCTCTCTCTCTCTCTCTCTCTCTCTCTCTCTCTCTCTCTCTCTCTCTCTCTCCTTTCCTCTCTCCCCTCTCTCTCTCTCCCCTCTCTCCCCCTCTTCTCCTCTCTCTCCTCCCTCTCTCTCTTCTCCTCTCTCTCCTCTCTCTCTCTTCTCCTCTTTCTCTTCTCCTCTCTCTCCTCTCTCTCCCTCCCTCCCTTCTCTCTCTCCCTCCTTCTCCTCTCTTTTTATTTCTCTCTTTGTCTCTGTCTTTTTTCTCTCTCTGTTTCTGTCTGTCTCTCTCATTACACACAGAGCTACTAATATTCAAATGATTACACACAGATGCATGCAGAGACCGCCACAGCCCCTCTCAGCCATTCCCACAGACACTCTTGTACATGCCACATTCAGTCCCAGAAACACAAACATACCACAGACATACATGATCACATAGGAAAATGCCTTTTCATCACTTCCACCCAGGTCAAGGTCCCTCTGACTATCTCAGTCATGTCTCACATTTATGGCCCAACAAAAATAAGGTGGACAGGTAAAAAACCAGACAGTGAGGCAGTGGGGGAGGGTTGAGCCATTAAAGTCAGAATATTCCAATACACTTTTCCCCTGACCAGCCATGCCAAGAAGCAAAAGGCTTGGGCTCTGATGGGAAGCAGAGCTAAAATCTGTGTGCCATTTCCCTCTGGTTCCCCACCTGAAGTCACTATTCTCTCCCCTCTCTCACCCAAGGCCCCACACATTTCCTCATCTCTGCCAACCATCTCGTCAAGCCCAGTCTTCCTCAGCATCAAAGACAGAACATTCATTCAGCAGCTGTTTAGTGAGCACTTCCTAAGAGGGGGCACTAGGTTGGATGCCACCATAACCCCTCACCTTTGCAAAGTGGACTTTGACAGCAAAAATCCTTTCACGCCCATTACCTCACTAGATCCTAATAACCCCTGTGAGGCAAGCAGGACCAGCCAGCCTTATCCCCTCTTTGGACAGATGAGGATTAAATAACTTGGCCAAGTTCTTACAGTTAGTAAGTAGTGAAGCTGAAATTTGAACCCAGTCTCCTGAAGCACACTCCATTGTACCTCACTACCATAATACTAGTGCAAGAGCAACAGCAGACATTTCTATAGACTGGCAAAGTATTTCACTCCTATTCCCTCATTTGGGCCCTAGGAGATGGGTGCTATAGGTATCATTAGACCCATTTTACAGATTGGGGAACAGGTTCAGCTAGTGTCAGAGATTCAAACCCAGGTCTTCCTAACTCCAAGTCCAACACCCTTTCCACTAAGCTGCCCTGCTTCTGAGATATCAGTGGTTCCTTACCCTTTCTACTAGTTTCTAACTGACCACCTGTGGTCAGTTTCCCTCCACTCCCCTATTTAAGGTGGAGAGGTTAGATTAATAGACAAAAGAAACTCTGTATCTTTGCACACTTTGTCTCCCAACTACGCAAAGTAGAAACTCTGTCATCTCACACAACGTGACCACAGCTCCCCTGCCAGCTCAGGGAAGAGCATGACATTTACCGGGTACTGACTAGGATCTGGCCTGTTGCAGAGAAGGTGGGATTTAGGGAGCTGAGGAAACCTTCACTGCCCTGACTTCATCTCTTCACCACAGCGATGGCCACTCAAGAGCCAAGCTCCCTCCCCAACACCCCAAGCCCTGGCAGTGAACTCCCCTCCCCACCTAGCATCTAAGCAGTAGAAATCTGAGCCAACTTTCCAGAAAGACTCTAGAGAAATTCTCACCCCCATCTGGAAAGCCACCAACAGTCAACTGCCTCAGTACTTCCCCACGACTTAGTACTGAGATGTAGCCCAGCTCCTAACAGAGAAAGAATCTTTCCTCCAATATCCTCATCATGTGGCTAGCCCCCATTGAAGACTTCCAGGGATGGAGAACTCACTATCTTCTTTTTTTCTTTTGGCTTGGTTTTTTAGAGGCAATCTGGGGGTTAAGTAACTTGCCCAGGGTCACACAGCTAGGAACTCACTACCATCTGAGGCAATTCATTCCACATTTGGATAATTCTAATTGTTGGGAAGTTTGTTTTCATATCAAGCTGAAATCTGTCTCCCTGAAATTTCCACCCACTGTTCTCCTCTTCAATGTAATAATCCCCCTTCCACAAGATAGGGCAGCTAGGTGGCAAAGTGGATAGAATATCAGGGCCCGGAGCTAGGAAGACTCGTCTTCCTGAGTTCAAATCTGGCCTCAGACACTTAATAGCTGTATGACCTGGGCAAGTCATTTAACTCTGCCTCAGTTTTCTCATTTGTAAAATGAGCTGGAGAAGGAAATGGCAAACCACTCCAATGCCTGCCAAGAAAACCCCAAATAGTTTAGAGTGGGATAAGCGAAACAACTGAACAACAAATCCACAAGATAACACTTTAAAATCATAAAGACAATGGTCATGTCCCTTCCAGATCTTCTCTTTTCAGGCTAAGCATCTTCACTTCATTCAGCTGGTTCTCCCAGAGTATGGCTGTGAGTTTTCTCACTATCCAATCAGCATCAGAGAAGCAGGAAAGGTTATCCTATAGTCGGCCCCTTCATAGGCAGCTCGGTGACACAATGAACTCAGAGCCAAGACATCCTGAGTTCAAATCCTTGACACTTCCTAGCTGTGTGACCCTGGGCAAATCACATCACCTCTCCTAGCCTCAGATCTGTAGAATGGGAATAAAAATAGTATCTACCTCCCAGGGCTGTTGTGGGGACCAAAGGAGAGAACACATGTAAAGCACTATGCTAGTCTTATAGTGCTAGCTGTTATTATTTGTGAATTCCTCAGTCTAATGTGGAGTAATTGTCAGAGGAGAGGCTGTCAGTGATCAAACACTGGCTAAGGATGGAAGAGAAGCTGTGTCTAGACCCAGGAGGCCAAGAGCTAAGTGGGAGGTTGAGGGCACAAACTCCTGGCTCCTGTGCCTGCTACCTCCTCAGCACTCTTACGTGGATCTCTGTCTCTCTGTCTCTGTCAATCTCTGCCTCTCCCTCTTCTTCTCCCATGTCATCTGGTATAACACCCTTCCCCACTCTGGCCCTCCATTTCTTATATAGGTACTAGGTATGAAATCAATTGTTGAATAAATTAACCTGACCCCATATGACTATATGTGTTGGGGGGAATGGAGGGAAGATAGAACAAATTCACTCTTCAGGGATTGTTGGAGAGAAAGATTCCCTTCCCTCACTACCCAACCAAGCATCCAGTACCCCTCAACACAACGGAAACTTCTTATTCTCTAACCAAGTTATTCCTACCGCATACTAAATGGGTCCAAAAGGAACCAGGGTGTCAAAGGAGGCAAAGGCTGAGGAATCTTGGGTGTCCCTTTCACCAACACTCCCAACAAAATTCAACTCTGTGAGGCTTCTTCCCTCAGAGATCTCAAAGTATTCAAGAAATCAACAGGAAACTGAACGGCCATTGGGAAATTGTCCCAAGAGACGTGGCTCCCAATCCAAATGGATAATCAACACTAAAGGGTTCACCTTCCTTCCCTATACTCACAGAGGTGTCAGAATCTACCATCCCACCCCCTTCAGTGAGGGAGGGGGGTGGACAGTGGGGGGAGAAATAAATATTGCCTGTCCAATGAAGCTGCCCACAGGGGCAGGGCCTCCCAGGAACAGAGACCAAACTGGCAGTGTGCCCTGGAAGGACAAGATGGATGCCAAACCCGTGCCACAGTGACAGCTGCTTATGGAGTGCCTGGGGTGATAGAACAAGGTGCAGAATTTCCAGCCAGAGATGAGGACAATGTTTGACAGCTTTTCCCAGGAGCAAAACTTGGGACAGGGAGCCATTCCTTAGCCCTCAGCCAATCTGGCTAAGCCAAGAAAGCCCCTCCCTCTGGGGGCTAAGGAGTTAACCCCTCCTTTCCTTGTTAGCTGAAGGTACCCCCCACCTCAAATCTCTGCCTGAGCTGGTGGCAAGCAACAGTAAAGGGACTCACTGTTTCTCAGCCTCGCTAGGCATGAGGAAGAGACCTTCGCCCAGAGACCTCTCCAATGGGAAGCTGAGATGAATGATGGATCAAATGTGTCAAAAGGGCTGAAGAAGGATTGCCTGGTAGGCTGAAGAATATGCAGAAGAGCCCCCTCTGAATCTCACAGGGACTTAGGGTCCGTGTGTGACAGGGGGTTATTACACCTTCCTCACCTGCTGACACATAGATGGGGAATCTCAGGGGAGGAGCAATGGATTGACTGCCCTTCTAAATTAAACCTTCATTCCGTGGGGGAGGCTCACCCTCTCACCCTCACAAACACAAGGGCACACACCACCTGCATATAAACTCTAGTACTGGCAAGTATAGGTAAAGGGGGCCACATGTAAACTCTAACACAGACAAGTACATACTAACAGGAGTACACACAAAGATGTACATACATATATACATACATACACAACACACAAAGGCACATGCAAACTCCTACCTCCATCCCACCTCACACACATACACACATACACACCCTCAGGTGTGCAAATCCACATGGACTCCGCAGGAGGCCTCCTTCCCCAAGAGACCGACGGGCACCCCAGGTACACCACTCGTGAGAAAGACGGGGTGCCCGCCCCAGCCTGGGGAAGGTCATGACTCCTTGAAGTTGGGGGGCGGGGCCGCCGCGCCCTCGGGAGCTGCATCCTGGGGGGAGGGGTAGAAGGGGGCGGGGATGCGGCCCGCGGCAGACAGCGCCAGCTCCCCCCCACTCCTCCGGGGGAGCCCTCCTCCCCTGTGCCCCGCGGCCGCACCTCCCTCTCCAGCTTACCTGC